ACTGTCTGACTGCAGCTACCACTCAGTGTTCAACGATATCATTTGCAAAAATACCAATACAGGATAAATTGAAACATCAGTACCAATTACTCAATCAAATCTTATTTTCTATAGCACATTTGATGAATCTTAGTGCAGTTCAGTGCTTCACAGATGACTAATAGGCCAATAATTAAAACTGCATAAAAAAAATTAATAAAATTACAATGATTTGCAGTAATAAGCAATTATATAAATTAATTAAAGAGATTAAAAATCAGACATAAGTCTTAATAATAAATACATCTGGGGAAGATTAGAATATAGAATATGGTAATATAGAGATAATGCTGATATATTATAAAGGTGGAAGTAAGTGCTGAAAAAACAAGGCCCTAAAACATATGAAAAGCTCAAAAAATGTAATCTGGGTAAATTCAGAGTATCTTTGCTTTTGTCAGATGATCTGTTTGGTTACCTTGTATCCATCTTTTGTTGATATTGCTTTTTGTGCAATATTTTCATTTCCTGTCTTGCTTTACCATCGTTTTTGTTCATTTTGCCTTCCTCTGCATTCTACATTGGATAACTCGCTTATGCACACCTGAGCTAAATATTAACATTTGTGTTACCATGTTTCATTACTATGTATCATACCACAACAATACGTTGAAAGTATTTTGCCAGGGTTTATATGTTATTTTGGTTACAGGCCTTCTGTAACTGTTTGCTCTAACTTTAAATTTACATGAACAGAATTCTATTCACATTCATTGTAATAGTAAAGCAATAAAGAATATTAATGCTCACAAAGATGTTACAATGGGCCACCTCTTATTTCTTTATATTTTGCTACAGCCAGACGTGTCAATTTATAAAAGTGTTCCTGAGCAATAGATCTCCAGGTTTTGTCAAATTATTCTTTGGATATTGGCTGCTTTTTCACTCATTTTTAGTGTAGTCTTTATACTTGACCAGTTTAATAGGAATGTTTGTGTGTGTGTGTGTGCATGTGTGTGTGTGTGTGTGTGTGTGTGTGTGTGTGTGTGTGTGT